CCTGTACCATAAAATAAGCAAACAACTGACAGGTGAGATCCACAGGTAGAAAAGGCTTTATACCTCCCACCTGAAGATGAGACTCTCAGAACGGAGGAAACAATTCGTATATAGGACAAAATGATCCCTGAGGCTGGAACAGCACCAATGATGCCACCGATACCATATGATAATTTGCTGTTTGTGGAGGCGCCAGAACAAGCAAGTTTAAAGAGTTGAGGAGAGTCACAGAAGAAATTAGGGATTTTCATATCTGTGCAGAAAGTAACTTGTGATACCAATAAAAGTTGAAGCTGGGAGAACAAAAAGCTGACGGTAAAAGATAGCAAAATCAGCAAGCCACAGAGGCGGGGGTTCATGATGACTGTGTAGTGCAGGGGGTGACAGATGGCCACAACCCGGTCATAAGCCATCACACTGAGGACGAGACTATCCAGACACCCAAAGAGATAAAAACAGGACACTTGTGTCAGGCAGCCCACGTAGGTGATGGATTCACTCTGTGTCTGGATGTTCACTAGCATCTTGGGGACTGTGGTGGAGATGAATCCGATGTCAGCCAAGGACAGGTTGGAGAGGAAGAAGTACATGGGAATGTGCAGGTGACGGTCAAAGCTGACAGCCAAGATGATGAGCAGGTTCCCAGAAAGAGAGATCATATAGATGGACAGGAACAGCCCAAAAATGAGGGGCTGCAGTTCTGGATCCTCAGAAAGGCCCAGGAGGAGGAATTCTGAGATGACTGTTAGATTCTGTGGCTCCATGTATTTAGACAGCTTTAGGAGAAAGAAAAGAGTATTGATAAAGCAAACAAGTGAGCAGGCACCCAGCACTGTGTGTATCTTGAATTCTAGAAATTCAGAGAGAAACATGGCAATTCACAAAAGTTCACACTTCAGGACATAATACCCTGCTGCCTTCAACAATATTACTCAGTTGTAGCAAAACCAAAACAGTACTACTCGGAACTTTTTTCCTTATTTTATTTATTTATTTATTTATTTTTCATGTTATTCACCTCTTTCTGTACACATCCACTTTAGTTGTTGTTGTTGTCAGATGCCGTCTAGTCGTTTCTGACTCATAGTGACCCCATGCACAGCAGAATGAAACACTGACAGATCCCACGCCAGCTACATGACCCTTACTAAACTTCAGCCCATTGTCATAGCCACTGTGTCAATCCATCTCGTGGAAGGCCTTCCCATTTTTCATTGACCCTCCACCCTACCAAGCATGACATCCTTCTCCAGGGAATGGTCCCTTCTGACAACATGACCAAAGTAGGTGAGACAAAGTCTGTCCATCCTTGCT